ATGCATGCAATTTACAGCAAATTTGAAAAGCAAAAGTTAACAATTTAAATGCAGTTAATAAGTGTATTTGTCAGCAAGCTGCCATTCTGTTTTCTGTGACCTCTGTGTACATATCCTTTCCCTGTTGCACCCGGCTTGGTTTCTATCATCCTACTCCTGCGTTGGAATGCAAAAGATAACTGCTGGAGGTTGTGTGGGGGAGAAGATGCTGTAATGCTTGGCTATTGCTTTTCCCATGACTACTGCACCTGTGTTATGTCTAATATCCTGCCTGGTTCCCATGGACTGGGCGCGCAACCGTTCCATTAGCCCGCCAGCGGGAAAGTTATTCATTGGACCTGTATCTCTTTGAAGTTCCTTTATTATGCTTGATCTAACTGTGTATCCCCAGTTCTAACAAAGAACGTGTTTGAGTATGTCGTCAACGCTTTGAAATAAATTTTGCTTTTCTTAAAACGTGGATTTATTCTCGATGCTTGGGGATCCAACAGTATTGGAATCTCAAGGAAAATTAATAAGTTTCAGCTTTCTACACAAGAATCCTCACAGTGACTTACTACTAGCGACAAAAGGTCAAGGATGCTGGGTTCTGATCCCAGCCCCACAGTTGTTGGCTACGACCCTAAGAATGCTTTCCTGGGAGTCAGCCTGCTTGATTAAAATCGATCTTATTTCTGTGTAGAACTGCTTCGGATTCCTCTTCGTCTTCGGTGGGTAGGGCTTTAAAAGCCTCACCTTTTTCAGTTTTGTAATGCTCCTCTTATTTCCCGATTTGATGAGTGTTGTAAAAGTTTATGTCTATTGACCACACCGTACATCTCCCTCTTGAAATGGCCAGCATAGAATATACTTCAGATAGCAAGCGGCTTCTGCAGTGGCCAGGAAGCTGAAATTTGGTGTACACACAACTCTGCACTCCCTCTATTTAACAGGGTGGGTGTCTTTGTTTTATTTATATACTAGGAAAAAGACTCGTTGTGGAAATAAATACAACGGCCTCTAGAAAGAGGCTCTGGGCGGGTGCCCCGGCCTTGGACACTCAGTGTCAATTTGCTGTGGCGACGTCAGCAGGGTATAATGACACTATCCACCATTTTCTCCCGAGGAACTGATCTCTGCTACCTAAAGAACAGTTGTAATTTTGAGTGATCTCCAGCCCTCACCTGGAGATTGGCAACAATGGTTCCCCAGAAGGGAATAGTTGGTTTGGAGGATGGAGTCTATGGCTTTGTACATGTCCGAGGTCCCATGCCTCCTGAAACCTCACCCTCTCCAGGCTCCATCCCTCACATCTCCAGGAATTTCCCACCTGGAGTTGGCAACCCTGTCTCCTTCCCAGCCAATCATCAACCTACCTTTATTTCCCCCTCACTCTTCAGCTTTCCACCCCCCACACACCTGCAGCCTCTCCCGTGCTCTGAAGCCCTGACTGCTACGTCACATTGGCTGTCATATGGGGGCCACCTCAGCAGCATATAAGGATACAGAGCCCACCATCTTCTCAAGGGGAACTGATCTCTGCCATCTGGAAAGCAGTTGTAATTCTGAGTGATCTCCAGCCCTCACCTGGAGATTGGACACATTTTACCTCAGAACAGCAAAACTGTTTAGAATGTTAGAGGCAAAAGCCAATCAAGTCGCATATGCAAACGACCTCTGTGTTCTGAGGCAGAGGCCAATGAGGCTGCATATGCAAATAACCTCTGTGTTCTGACTGGCTATGGGGGGGGGAGGATGAGCAAAATGTTTAGAATGTTGGAGGCAGGACTCAGGCAAAGCAGCCAGTGGATAGGGAGACCCTCTGTTCTAGAGAAGTGCCACCACCATTCGGCTTTTATTTATAAGGGAGATTTAGAATGTTTTCATGTTACCTCTCCATCTGATTAGGGTCCCCCAAGCAGCAAACCAGGACATTGCCAGGCCTCACTTGGAGGTTGGCAACCCTATGTGCTAGTCTTGCTGCAAAAGAAAACAAACATCTAGTGGCACATTAAAGACTTAACACCATTACTTTCAATACAGGCTTTTTGTGAGTTACAGCTCACTTCTTCAGGCATGGGAAAAGGAAATTGTTTTGAGAATCCTTACAGCGAAAATTACCACGATGTTTTCCTTGCCACAGATCTGAAGGGAGTGAGCGTTGACTCTCCAAAACTCATGCTGTAATAAAAGATAGAACAAAGTTTGAGTCCAGTGACACCTTTAAGTCCAACAAAGTCTAATTCTGGGTTTAAAACAGTCTTCCACAACCGTTACTTATAGACATATACGTTTCAGTGTATCTGAAGAAGTGTGTATGCGCACAAAAGCTTATACCCAGAATTAAACTTTGTAGGTCTTAAAGGTGCCACTGGATTCAGTTTTCTTCTGTTGCTTCAGACGAACATGACTACCCACCTGAATCTATAATAAAAGATCTTCATTTTTAAGGTGTTCCTGGACTTTTATTCTGCTTTGTAATGGATCGAAGCTGAGAAATGCAGTCCTGTAAGGAAGATGAAGGGGTTGTTGAGGAGCAAGTAGTCCACAACTAGTTGTGGGTCACCCCCCTGGAATTCTGGGGAACAAGGCCAAGTTCACACACGCAGCAACATGATGTGGCAGCTAGAATGCTAAGGGACTGGACAAAGATCACAGTTTAAACGTTACTAAAAAGCTCCCTGCAAGTAGTGCAACAGCACAGCAACCTAAGAGAGTGGCTGGAACTTTTTATCCTTCTGTTTACACTGACATAATGTGAGGCAACATTTAAAGTTGGAATCAACCACCTGGAGTCTCTGGCGATGGGGTCTCTTCCACCACTTAATCCTCCTGCACGTGTGAACCGGTGTTGAATGTCCCAAGAGAGAGGAAGGCAAGCTACAACTCTGGTTTGAATGTAGGCTCTGGAAGTTTCACTCACCCTTTGGGGTGTGGAAGAGATTTCCCAGTAACGGGCAGCAGCGTGACTCTGTTTGCAAAGAATTTACCAGTTAATACCCAATCATGTACATTGTCTTGTAGGGCTCAGGAAGAAGCTCACGGATTTCTTAGCAACGGTTTATGTGTCCTAGCACTGATCCCTGCTTGTGAAAACCAAGGTTCAACTCTAACCTGATTGAATATATATATATATATTTAAGTATGACTTGCCCCTACTTGGAAGGATATCAGAGAAGCCTCTTCTCAGGGTGGATGCTTGTGCTGAAGTCGAAAGCCTGTGACCTGCTGCCGCTGCGGTGCCTTAGTTTTATAATGTAAATCTCAAAGCTGTTGGGGTGGGTGTGTACACAGACAGTGATCTCTGCCAAAGCAGGTAGGACTCACCTTTGGAGGCCCAAGAGCTGCTGACAGGTTTAATGTTCAGACATCAGTGGTGTGCTTGATCCCTGATGCGTCGTGACAGTAGAACAAAACCAGGAGGGAAGGAATCCAGCTCAAGGCTGGGGAAGCATGTAGATTTGGTACATATCATACCCTTTAATCGAAGATCTCTTAGCACTTACATTAGCAGGATACACAAGGCTTTCGTGATTCCCCCCCCCACACACACACACATTTTCTTCTGCGCAACAGTGGTAGAAAGCACTGACAAGTTGCAGCTGACTTATGGGGACCTTGTAGGGTGTTCAAGGCAAAAGACGTTCAGAGGTGGTTTGCCATTGCCTGCTTGTCATGACCCTGGGATTCCTTGGTGGTCTCCCATCCAAATACTAACCAGAGCCATCTCTGCTTAGCTTCCAAGATCGGATGGGGGTTGGGATAGCTTGGACCACCCAGGTCAGACCTGTGTACGACGTTGCTTGTTCATTACTTTGACTACTACAAGTTAAGCATGTGTATCATTCCTGTTCAGTGTTCAAAGCACTTCACCCCTTTCAGTAACTCTTACAACAACCTCGTGAGGCAGAGCAGTGTTGTTGTGGCTTGCCCAGGGCCACCTAAGGAGTTGTTGGTTGAGGCACTTCCCAACACATGGCTCACGCCGTGCTGTTCCCAGAGGCCTTTCCCGAATGACAGCTGCCTGTACTTTTTTACTGTAGTGCTTGTGTACTAAAGTGGAAGATGGAAGGCTTGGCTAACACAGGTCAGCTCTTGTGTGATGGGCTGTGTAGCCCTGTCTGGGCTGTCTGTCGCCACTGCCAGGAGGGGAAATTAGTGTCATGAAATTTCAGCTTTTGTTTTACAAAATGGCAAGTTTCTAGGCCCTATGAGAGTATGTGAGCTTTCCCCTCCCCCTTTTCTCTGTTATTAGCAAAACAATAACAGATAATACAAAAAAATCACACAGTGTGACATAAATTATGCAAGATGAGGGGAATTGTGTACTTTTGCTCAGTTAGCTTATTGCAGGGGTGGCCAAATTGCGGCTCGGGAACCACTTGTGGCTCTTTCACACATATTGTGCGGCTCCTGGCAAGGCAGCTGGGGAAGCCAAGGGGAATGCTTTCCCTCCCTCCCTCCCATCTATTTGCTTTCTTTGATTCTCTCTCTTTCTCTCCACCTCTTTCCTTCTTTCTTTTCATCTCTCTCTCTCTCTCTCTCTCTGACAAATAAATATCATTAGCAAACAAATATCATTGGACAAATAAATATCATTATCAATATCTGTTTTTACCCATTTTGTTTTTATTTTTGGCAGTATCATTTAACGCTAATAAAAAGCAAATGTACCTATTTTTAAAGTAAAAACACGTGTAGTATCTGTTCATGTCTTGCAGCTCTCAGACATCTGATGTTTATTCTATGTGGCTCTTACATTGAGCAAGTTTGGCCACCCCTGGCTTATTGCACAGATGCAGAATTTAAATTTCCTTGATTTAATTTTTGAGAAAGTGTCACATATATACAGTTTATTTCTCAAGAATGTTAAATACTAGGATACTTCAACAAGACATTTGTATTTTATTTGCATTGGTTTGAGGAAATAATTGTACAGTTGCATAATTCTTGGTTTTGTCCTTGTTGGGATTTTTAAGATAATTCAATTAATCCCCCCCCCTCTTTATTTGTTCTTGCAGCCAACTGGGTACATGGAAAACTCCATTTCTTACAGCTCAATTGAAGACGTGCAGTTGCTCTCTTGGGAGAATGCCCCTAAGTATTGTTTACAGCTCACCATCCCTGGGGGGACCGTCTTGCTTCAGGTACGGTAAACATGAAAAGGAAGCTCTCTGCTTTCTGCTGCTTAATCATTCCAGTTCTCTGTTTGCTGAATTTGAGCGTGGACACAAACAGGTAGATGGTTATGGTGTCAGCTTCATAACAGATTTGTACGGGGGGGGTGCATTCAAGACCTTTTGGTTTCATTTGGGCTGCCAATATTATTGGGAGTCAGAATCAGATCTCCGACATTCCAGTAAACTTTCTAGAGCTCAGGGAATAGTGGAAGAGACTAGTCTAGGATAAAGCATGGGAAATGTCAGCAGTAAAATTTTAAAGTCATAGCTCTGATGTGCACATTGAGGGACACATCCCTACATTGTTTCATTTCCTCTATTCCGGATGTTGATTTTATGTAGGGAGATTTTGTTATATCTGCCCACATGCAATGACATGTTTGTATAGAAAAAGCCTTTTCTAAAATCTTCCCGGCTGGGGCCAGATGGCCTCGCTGGTGTGTTATTCCTGTCACCTGTACAAATGGCTTGCCAGATGGCCAGGCCCCATCTCCATATACAAGACACTTTGACACCTCTGCCAAGAGAAGGCGACTTGCCGGCACCTTCCCAGGCCTGGGACAGCTATGCCCAGTACATTAACACATCAAAAGCATTCCCTGACATGACACATGGTCAATAGCAGAGGCTGGAGTGGGATGCCCAACTCCTAGCCAATCAAAACATACCTTGCCTGACAACGCATGGTAACCAGAGATGGGAATGCCTTCCCACTCTCTCACTATTGGGTAAATGGCCATACCTGGTGGTGACGAAGGGGGGGGTATATCTGCAATGATTCCTATGGGAAATGGGAGTGGGAGTTAGAGGAGAGAATGGAGTTCTTCTCTGGAAAACAAAGAGTTCTTTTGGATTGACTGTTTGCTGTTAACATGGAGGGAAACTGTTATGCAGCCGAGCTGGACTAGCTGCCCACAGCACCATGGGGTTCCTTTCCAAGATTCCCTAGTGAGACCTTGGACTATTTGCACACCAGCCTGGTAAATATGAACTACCTCTATCGTGTAGCTAGAGCTGAACAAGCTATAGATATCTTTTGTTTATTATCTTTTGCTAGTCTCATGTTATATGCATGCTTGTGCACTGAATAAAGATAATATATAATCAATATTATCTGGACCTGTCTTCTCTGTTGCAACCTGATCTCTAAGACTGGATCTAGTGCCTAAAGCCCTAAATGGGGGGGCTACCACTGTGGTACCACTGTCTACGGGGGCTACCACTGTGGTACCTAATTGTTTGCAGCCCTGATGCAGAGCTGGTAACGTGGTCAGTCCAATAAAGCAAGGAGGAGTTTGGGATCTTGGCTCCTGAGCTGTGTTGTGGGACTGGTTAACGAGATCCTGGTGGCAGTCTATTGGTAAAGCCTGGAGAGTGTACAGACATTCTCCTGGCGTTTGTTTAATTCTTCCTGAGCGCCTGGGTTTCTCTCCCCATTCCTGGACTGGGGTGAGAGAGAGAAACCTTGACATGGTGGCTTAGCGTGTGGGATACTGAACTGGAGATGGGTTGCAACAATCGTGGGTGTGTTACCCTGTGCAAAGCTGTGTATGCATGTAGACTGTGAAGGAAGGTTTTTTTATATTTTAAATAGTGTTAGCCAGGAATTTGGAACCATGGCTGAGGGAGGTGAACATTGCTCCCGTGAGGAAGAGGTGTCTCTCCTCACCATTGATGAAGTTGGGAACCATGACGAGTTCTGGGATGCGTCAGACACTGGGTCCCCAGTTGTGCGGCCGAAACAAGCGCCTTTGTACCAGAGAGAGGTGGAGCAGGGAGGACTGACGTTTCCTGACTCCGCTAATCTCCTCGATGCGAGAAGAAATGCTGTTTCCTGGAATCTCCAGGCTGACTGGCAACCGAGGGGACCTGAGCTGTCCTCAGTGCTGAAGTCTACAGATTCTGCCAGCTGGAAAGCGCGGAAAGGATTTCAGTGGGCAGCCTTCAAGATCTGTCCCACGAAAAGACTTTAATGCACCTGCTTTGGGTTCCGGCCCCCCAGGATCCGTTGCTCCTTGGAATGTCGACAGGAAAATATTTCCTTACTACAAATCAGGTCAAGATGTACTAGGGTATTTTAATCTCTTTGAAAATACCTGCCAGGAAATTGGCGTGCAGGCCCGGCATTATATGCTAATTTTACGGTCCCAGCTTTCAGGGGCCTTAGTGGATCTTCTTGGGACTTTGAGTGGCTCAGATGCGTCGAATTACCAGAAGTTCAAGACGCTGGCCCTTAAGAGGTTTGCCCTCTCTGCTGAGTCATACCGACGAGCATTTCGCACAGCTGAGAGACACCCGTGCCCACAGAATTACCCAGTGGCCGCCGCTATCTTAGCACAGAACCTGGATCGCTGGCTTAGTGCTGAGAGGGTGTACAATTATGACACCCTGAGAGAACTGTTCTTGCTTGAGCAATTCTATCACCTGTTGTCTGACGATATTGCTGCCTTGGTGAGGGACAAGAAGCCGTCTACTCTAGAGGAGGCAGCGGAACTTGCTCAAAGCATGTGGAAGCATCGGGAGAGGAGCTTTGGGAGATCTACTCGCCAAGTTGCAGAAAAGCCTTCCCAAAGCCGCAGACCAGAGCATCCCAGCTGCCGGCAGAGAAGATTAAACCTCCACCTGCGTCGCCTGTCAAGACCCGTGTGGATCCGAAAAGCGGGTTATGCTTTGAGTGCAGATCTCCACAACATAGACGTGCAGATTGTCCTGTGTGGCAAGCAAAAAGAGAGAAGCCCTCCACCCCAGACAAGTCGCAAGTTCGTGTGATCCAACGTATTGGACCTACGGACCCTATCCCTCTGACCCCTGCGAATGCTGACCCAGCAGAGGAGATGACAGTCACCCAATCCTCAACCCCAGCTATCAACATTGCAGCCATTGTAGACAAAAAGCGATTGGACTGGGTTAGTAGAGAGTTTTCTCACGAACCTCAGGTAAACCATGTTAAACTTATGGGTTATTTTGATTCAGGAGCTGATATGACCTCTGTGCATTGTTCCCTAGTTAAACCTGAACAGATCCTGTCTAGAGAAATTCTTGTAGCTCCCTATGAGACTGCGGTGATTCCCAGAAAGCTCGCTGAGGTTGATGTGTGTTATAGAGGCTTTGCGGGCAAGATTATTGTGATGATCCATAAATCATGTGTCACCAAAGTCCTGATAGGGACAGATTTGGCATATAAGTCTTTTCTTGCTAATATGCAGACTCCGCCTACTGGGCCCATGAATGTTCCATCTGTTGAGGCGGGTGGGGGTGAGAGGGAAAAAACCATGACACGGTGGCTATATCAGGGGTGTCAAACATAAGGCCCGAGGGGTGGAGCTGGCCCATCCTGGGCTCTTATGTGGCCCGCAAGCAACGAGTGCAGAGAGGGAACAGAAGGCAGTTCGGGGGGAGTGGGTGCACCCACTCTGTTGTGGCTATAGTGTGGTGGAACAACCTTGTCTGCAGCAGTCAAGCGGATTGGGAGCATCTCCCAAGTGCAGCACTGCTGGCTCTCCAGTCTGCCCATATGGGTTTTCCTTGGCACCTCCTTCCCAGCCCATGGAGCCTCGCAGTGAGGATATAACAACTTGGAGCTTACCAACTGCTGTCCTTTATACAGTTTATATCTCCAGTACCTAGCATTTGAGCTGCGGTGGCTCAAGTGGTTAAGATGCTGAACTGCAGGCTGTGGAAGGTCGGTAGTTCAGCAGTTTGAGACCCGAGTTGCCGCATGACGGAGTGAGCTCCCGTCTCTAGTTCCAGCTCCTGCCAACCTAGCAGTTCGAAAGCAAGAAATTGCAAGTAGATAAATAGGTACCACTTCGGTGGGAAGGTAACAGCGTTCCGTGCGCCTTGGTGTTTAGTCATGCCAGCCACATGACCACGGAAATGTCTTTGGACAGCGCTGGCTCTTCGGCTTTGCAACTGAGATGAGCACCTCAACCCTAGAGTCGGATTTGACTGGCTTTCGAGCAAGGGAACCTTTACCTTTACCTAGCATTACGTTTTATGGCACACATGGCCCAGCCTGAGAAAATGACATTTATGTCAGATCTGGCCCTTGTAACAAGTGAGTTCGACATCTCTGTCTTATATCATGAATTCTGGTATACTCTGATGAGTATACCTATTATTCCAAGTGGCAAGCAGATTCAAACCCCACAAAAAGTAAGCAGTGTGTTGAGGCCAAGAGTTGCAGGCATTCTAAAGCTGTACAGATTTTATTCAGCATCATATTATCAGCTGAGGAGCACCATCTTGTTGGGAATGTTTCCAGATGTATGTTTGTTTTTACAAGGGACGTTTCTCAGACAGAATTGGGATCTACTGAGCTGCAAGCATATGACATTGGAGTCACATGATAGGAATAGGTGGAGCCAGAGTTATTTCTTTATCAGTATCAATGCCAGCAGCAGACCAAAAGAGGCCAGGGGCAGTAAATGCAGGCTGAGAACACCAAGAAGCATACAGACAGTTCCTAAAAAGACTCTTGAGTGAGTGACTGGCAAAAACAAATAAGTCCATATGGAAAGGCAAGAAGCCATGAAGAAGATTTAAAGTACTGCAAGATGAGAAGAAAAGAGGTGGCCTGGCAATACCCTGTATCAAATTATATTATCAAGCGGCTGGGCTAGTTTGGATATTGGACTGGATTTGAAATTCTAATGAAAGAATGATAAAATTAGAGTCTTCAAATCTTGATGGCGGATGACACGGCTATTTAAAAATCCATATCAAAAAGCATAACCAAGATAAAACACATAATTAGAGATAGCTTATTTAAAATTTGGGAAATTCTAAGAGAAAAAAACCCAGCCCCTCAGTCCCACCAGCAATGTCACCAATAGATACTTATTACACAATCACACAAGGAAAAATAATGATTACATAACCTACAGCGATATGATAAATTCATGAGAGATTTAGACGTAGCAAGAGAACAAAGAAGAAGGTAAAGAGATACAATGGTAGATATATTT